AGGTGCGTCTTTTGGGAACCATTCCCGCGCCGCTGCTGTTCGGTTTCCTTATCGACTTGTCCTGTTCATTGTGGGAGCCTGCCTGCGACTCCACCGGCGCCTGTCTACTCTACGACAACTATAACATGAGCAGGTAACATTAATTCCCCTTAGTCTACGCTCAAGGTTCACGGCTAAATTGTGTTTATCATTATTTTTCTTTGATTCTAGGTATATGTTAGCGCTAGCACTAGTTGGTAAGCTATGCTCGCTGGTATTCTTCTTCCTAGCTTGGTGGTTCTACCGTCCACCTGGCGGTAAGAGTGGAAACGGTGTGGTCCCCGCTATCGACCTGCTCGTCTGTGACAAACGTAATGGCACCAATGGCACCAACGGGAGTAATGGACCACATACTATCGCGACAGACAACGGTCTCAGTCACACGCCCGGGATTGTCAATGGTGTATCTCACTCTAATGGGTATTGTAATGCGGCGTTGGAGTGTAGTGATCATTTATAGATTAAGGTATACTCGAATGCACTGGTAGAACATAGTTCCGGTTCAATAGACCTGAATATCTAGTATCTGTTCTCAACCTATAGATTGATTCATATACAAATAATTGGACAATGCTAAATAAATTACAATAATTGTTTACAACAGACTGAATGAGACTGTTAAGAAATTAACTACGAATTTGAGAAGACCAAGAATTAAAATAGGTTTAAACTCTTGAATTTTTACACATTCAACCAAACTGAAATATTGTATAGTTAAATAAATTTATTGGAAACATATAACTGCCATTGATATGTAGAAGTTCGTTATAAATCTATATAACATAGTATTTAATGGTCCTTTGAGTCGGATGTATACTTAAACTGTAACTTTCGTGATACATTCTCTTAAACGAATTAAAAACGACTTAAGTGTATTATCTTTTGGTGACGGCATCGACTGGTTTCGGACCAGTTTGAGGTCTGTTTTCAGAGCGAGTGCTTATATCGCTTTCTTTGATCACGTCGCGCCTCGCACTGCAGATGATACGTGAGTTAGGCCGTTTTTAATTCATTTTCTTCAACATAAATAAACCAGCGCTTGACCACGACTCCACCTAACTTAAGTGAAGACGCGGCTGAAGGATAGAGCGCGCTAGCTCAGTCAGTACCGAATCACCCTGCTTGAAGGCACCCACTCATATATGGTGTTTGAAAGTATGTAAGAAAAGCATTGTAATTTATTTCAATTATAAACCACTTCGTGTAATATCTCTCAAATACTATTGCAATACAAGCTCACATGAATTAAGGTATATAGTATTTAAGTGTGAAGGCTAGTGCGCCCGCGCATCACTCCTAGTATTATTAATAATAATGTTTTAAAATAGAGTACAACCGTGAAGACACAATTTTGATACACATATTTAATATTTTCTCATCTGTGTAGTGTACAGCGTTTTTATAAATTATTTTTGTTGATTTTATTGAAGGTAATTTTGTAAATATTTTATTATAAGTGTATTTTCGGTTAAAGACTGATTGTTTGGTATTTTATAGAAGTTAGATATACTCTTTTGTTTAAGATTTTTCTCTGGAATTTTGTTTATTTTTTGAATTGGGACATTTTTGATCACATAACTATGGCTGTTTAGGTAATAATTCAAACAGTATGATGAAATAGAATTAATACCTATTTGTATATAATCAAACAAATGTTTGATGTTTTTAAACGTTTTACACGTTTTTTCAATTTGTACAATTTAATAAAATAGCATAATATTTGAATGATTTTGATGTTGTACAATTTTACAGTTAATTCGAATAAAAATGAAATGAAATAAACTGAGTTTTATTCCAACCTGACATTTGTATGTACTATTTAATGTAACATCAAGTTAGAATAATATTTAAATTGCACACTTTGCTGCACAGATTATATTTTTTATGGTGTTTTACCGCAGTTTAAATACGCATAAATCCTTATCATAAATATATTTATTTCTTACTACATTCTCAGTTGTACAAAGAAATCAATAAAATTATAATAAAGCGTAAACACACACTTCTTTGTTGCCTAAGATGTCAGCAATCACAGCATATTTTTGAATATTTTTTTTTAATAAAAAGCCCTACACTTACGTCACGCTTTAGGTTATATATTAAGCCATTCAACTTAGGGGGTAAATATTTTGGATAAAAACCCTAATGTGGGAAAGAGACCATAAGTTGTTGCCATCATCAAGGAAGCAAAGTTGCCATGCTTTGTCATCATGTCATGTCATGACATTTGCAATTGATAATTTGACACATGTAAATAATATAATAAAATTTTCATAATTTTACGCAGATGAAGTCGCACGGGAACAGCTAGTTTTAACATAAAGTCTTATATATAAAAAAAAAACTTTTAAAAATATCAAGCAATATATTTCAACATTACAAAATAGTTACAACTTAACAAATTGCATTTAACATTTCCTTAGCGACAATAAATGTACTCACAATTTAAATTACGTATTGACAATGTTCAGAAGAATTTGACACCCTGGCTGTCATCAGACGCCATCAACTCACACCTGCCTTTCACCTCGAGAGCCTTTAATGCTTTGACTAGAACATTCATATCCAAGCCATGGAACTCTGAAAAAAAACGCAGGCAGTCCACACTGTTATATACACTTTTCTATTTAGCTATACTAGCGTTTGACCGCGACTTCCGCTTCCTGTATTCTATATCTGTCTTCATCAAGACCTGTTCGGCCATATTGGAAATATAGAAGTAACATCTATACATCCAAACTTTTGCATGATATAATATCAGTATGATACTAATCATACTAATATTATAAATGCGAAAGTTTAGATGGATGGATAGGTGTTTGTTAGAGTTTGTAGCCTAAACGGCTGTACGGATTTCGATAAAATTTGATATGGATGTGGAGGATAGTCTGGAAGAACACATAGGCGACTCACTTTTATTTTTTTTAATCCTCCGCGGAAGGAGTCGCTGGCGAAACTGACTAATAAGTGAAAGAATTAATGTGGTCCAGTATTTTTTGAGTTTATTCATATACTTAGAGGGTGCGAACATCTTTGACTAAACTATCGCACGACAGTTGTGCGATTGTCGATTGTTTCGCAGCCAATTCATCTGTTTAGTTGCACAACTAAGAATCGAGTAGTATAAACTCTTTATAAACTGGCAAGAATCAAAGCGAGACTGAACAGTTGTGTGTTAATCAAAGGTGTGCATGTGCTCTTAATATTGGTACAAACATGTTCCACTTGTACATACCTTCACCGACAGTATTATCTCCTTCCCTTATTTCATATAATGTGCAAACAGTATTATTTAAGCCATTACTACTCGCCCAGTTGTATACCATATTGCCCCATTCATCTAACGAATGCCAATACACCTCCCATACATTTTTACTCTTATCCACCGGAGCCGCTCGACCGGTCTTCCCCATTTCTTCTAATATTATTAATAAAGATTCTTGTGATAACTTTCTATTTATTGTTGCATTATTAAATAGTGGACAGTTCTGTGATTCTCTCACATCTATGGTTGATTGTTTTGTCGTTTTAAGATACTCTGTTATTAATTGTTGCCATGCCTCTATTTGTTTTGATCTTGTCTCTGCGTGTGGCTGAATTCTGAAACAGGAAACAAATATTAAATAACTTAAAAGATGCATTTTTCTTAAAGTAGTTTCGCAAAATTATCACATAACCAATTTATATGCACACAAGACTGCAATAATTATAATTGTCATGTATTCAGGTAGTTTTTTTAAAACCATTTTAAAATTTCATGGAAATATTGCAGTATACAAGCAAGCTTCAAAGACTGTATCTTCTATATTTATATAAATACAGGACTAAGGAACATTTCCTCTTAATTCTTAAATCTTCTAATTGACAATCTTTTGCACATTAAACTCTATAATTGTCTATGTCTAATAAACCAATACTTACTATGATTATTCAGCTGTTAATGCAATCTTTGCATAGTTATCTATCAATTTTTTCTCTGTTTCTTTTCTTTTATGTAAGACTTTAGCAGGTTTAGGCTCCAAATCTGTCACTCCTATTTTATATGACATTGTTTGACTCCCTACAGATACTTTAGGGTGTTTATTGTTAATATTTTTGGTGAAACTAATCATTATAGAGCAATCCTTGATAATAGCTGATATTAAAGCTAAATACAATGGATCCCAAGTGAAGAAAATCTTTTGATGTTCCGCAGTTGCTAGATCAAGGTTTTGTGTTTCGATTTCCTTTAAAATGGACCTCACATAATTAAATTCATCAGAAATGTCTGATGTGTAAGTATTTTCTGATAATCTTTGTAAATGGAGAAGTTTAAATAAAAATGATTCATGTTTCAGATTGTTGCCATCTCTACAATATTTACTCTTTGACATTTTTATTTCATCTGTGGTTGAAACTGTTATGTCTGATTTTCCATCACTGAGCAATATTTCTATTACAAAGTCTAGAAATAAATTAATGTAATTCCCAAAGATATCAAATTCTTTCAACATAATTTCAAAGTTATTGTTATGTTTATTTTCTTTATAAATTATATTTCCATTTTTAAAAACTTTAAAGTTATTCTGCGGATTTTCTATTAGACTTTTTAATGCAAATTTCATTCTGTCTCTATCGCCGGAGAAAAGATCCAAGGGGCAATAATTACTAATACCTTGAATGTGTTTCTCAGTTAACTTTAGAAATTGTTTCATGCAGTAATAACATTTAGAATATCCTTTCAAACTTTTAGCTAGATATCCCTCTTTTGGTTTGATCTCTATGCAATAATTATCTGCATTTGGATCGACCATTGTTAAATTAGGTGCTTTAATTGCAGTTGTCATTATTATAGATTTATATGTCCTATTTTTAGGCCGAAACTTGTGTAAATTTTTCGTCAGATTAACGATTTCTTGTAAAGAAATATCAACAACCTCTTCCTGATATCTTCTATCAGAAAATATTAATGGTATCATCACTGAGTTAACAAATTCGACTGATTCAGATATAATTGATTTTTTAGTCTTACAACAGTCTTCTTTTATGAGACGGAGGACGTAATTACTATTCAATATTTGTAGAACGATATGGACATTTCCTTCGTTGATATATTTCCAAGGATGAATGCAAAAACTCATTTTGAAAATAAACACTTAGTAGTGGCAATAAAATAAATTTACTTACGTAAAAAAAGGAGGAAAATTATACTGCCACGGCCAGGTTATGTCTGCCATCTCTTTAATAGTTACGTAGTGTTCTTATGAAGTTTTTTTGTTGCACTATAATGACCAATTTATTTCTTAATCCTATTTTCTTCCAACTATCTTCAAGAATTTTGCTTTCTTCTTGTCATATGACATTGACAAGTCTTATATGATGTCATACTTTGATTCTTTGACATCTTTCATTTCGATAAATCCAATGTTCAGAAAATGTATATAATGTATGTGTTGTCTCTGAATTATTTTAAGTGTTAATTCGTTAAAATAACATTTGCTGATATCAAATAATTACTTTTTTTTCAAAATTGTGAAAACCAAAAGGCATAGAAAGTACCGTAAAGTTATGGCAATATTGGTTGTGTTTATGGTTTTGTTGCTAGGTGCACATTCAGGAAGTACAGTTGGTCAGTCCAGGAGTTTGGCAGTCTGTATTGGGGTTGTTTGTCCACATTTTGCCCGTCCAATAACCTTGTAACATAATGCTACAGTGACAGTGAATTCCAGATAGTGATTGATTTATTTTCACCTTTTTACTTCATTTTATTAATAAAAAATAAAAGCTTGTTTTAAAAAGGTTGTTCGTTTTTTTTAATTTTTTTCCCATAAATTCGAGCTTAAATTGTTTAAACTATCGTGAGACATTACTTTAAGCGAAAATTAATTAAAAACGGCTCAACTCACGCTTTTTTCCCCTGAGTGCGAGGCGCGACGCGACCGCGAACAAAAGTTAAATAATACTCCCCCTGAAGAAGGATCCCCGAAGGATCCGAAACTAGTCGGTGCCGTCACCGGAGGAAAAAAGCGTGAGTTGAGCCGTTTTTATTAATTTTCGCTTAAATTCGAGCTTTTTCCCATTTTTTTGTTGCATTTCCATGCCATACAAAATACTCGTCAAGACGAATCAAGTTACCCCAAATTCGATGGAGTTGCGTTGTTTAATTACTATCAAAATATTCGTCAAAAAAACTAAACGAGTCTAAACCATTCAATAGGCGACGTATCTTACCTGTTTTGTGGTGTGCGTCATCACTGGACTGGACGTAGGACAGACCGTTCATGCGCGGTTTACATTTGGCCAGTGCAGTTGAGTATCGTTTCGCAAGCACACTCATTGGTGCACATTGTGCCAGTTGAGACGCAATATCTGGACTGACCAAAAAAGTCACGCTCACTGATGTCAGTTTGTGTTTCCTCGGTGCCAGTCGACGGACAGTCCAGTCATTTCATTGCCACACCTTCTTCACCGTACTGGCTAAATGTGCACCGGGCATGATAATTTTGACATTGACAATTGGACGATTGACAAATCGAGCAAAATTGCATCCCTGCATCGAAAGAAAGATCTGGTTAACTTAAAATCAAACATATCTTTATTTGTAATTTAAAATCTATCCTGATGTGCTAGTTATAGGGTAAATTTATATTGCAATAACTTAGTCACTAGAAATAAAATGATTACGCTTAATAGAAAATTTAAGAAAGAAAACCCTGAGAATACAAATGGTGTTACTGTCGATGTACCCAAAAGGATATCGGTTAGGGATAAACTACTGGTCAAGGAGGTGCAAGAAATGAATGAGAATCTCCCTACGACTTGCTCAGTGCACTTCGAGGACCCGAACGTCTTTAGTGAGTTCATTCTGACCGTGATTCCTGATGAAGGCTACTGGCTGGGGGGCAAATTTAAGTTCAGTGTGTTCGTCACCGAAGACTATAATATGGCGGTAAATATACGTGTTAATAATCGTGGTATTTTCTGACATTGTTTTTTATACATAGACCTGTTTATTAGATTATTGGATGTTTACTAATTGAAAAATCACATAAACAGTGATGATGTTTCTATCTTATTACAAAGCTATCCGCTAAGTTATCATATGTCATTTTATTTGACAATTGAATTCTAATCCTCTATTTATATAATATTTGCAGCCTCCTAAGGTGAAATGCTTGACAAGGCTATGGCATCCCAACATCAATGTAGATGGAGATATTTGCTTGTCCCTGCTGAGGCAGACTTCTATTGATGAGCACGGCTGGGCGCCTACAAGACGTCTTAAAGATGTTGTTTGGGGTCTCAACTCACTATTCACAGTAAGTAACGCTACTCAAAAACTAACTTTTTTTCATTATGATTAAACTGTATTTTAGGCAGAGTTCATTGCTTTGTATTGTCACACCTGTAACCCAGATAGATACCATCGGACTCCATTTTCTTGAACCCTAAATACCCCTTCTATATTCATTAACACATACATGGTCAAATTTTACATAAAAATGTAACTTAAATAAATATGATTGTGTTTCTACACATTGCATTACTTGAGTATAAATAAGCTTTATGAACTATGAAATAATAAATATGTTTCAGTAAATATAAATACCATATATACATAACTGTCTATAAATAAATATAATAAATTCTTATTCTCTTGCTAATTCTTGCTGTAAACCAAATCAGAAATGTGTGCTTGTGTGAGTTATAGTGTAATTTATTTCACAATTCCTAGGATCTCTTAAATTTCGAAGATCCTCTGAACATAGAAGCTGCAGAGATGTACAATCAGAATAAGGCTGAGTTTCAAGTTAAGGTTCAGGAGTACATAGCAACGTCTAAAGGGAAGAGATGAGGAAAGCATAACCGGCGATCAAATCCAACGAAGAAATAGCGGAACGGAGTAACGTTATACATTGATATTACTTTTAACAGATTGAATGCCACATTTAATTAGTGTGGCAAAGTTATTGTGGCATTAAATGTGTTTTAGGACTTTAGCTTGAAAATTATATTAAATAGTCCATTGATTGACACAGTCCTTAATTTGTAGTTTTCTTGTAAATGGTTGATGGAGATTTTCTAAGTGTCCAAATGAGTAATGGATTTTTCTTTTAGAAAATTTATTAATATTGAAAACTCAATAAGTTTTTTCTATGTAATTTCAGTATTTTGTGATATTTTTAAAAGTTTGTAGAGTATGGACTTAACATATTTGAAATTATAGCTTAAATGTAAAGAGTCTTATTTCACCGATCTCTTAACAAGAATTAATTAAACTATTAAATATTACAATTATGTAATGAAATAGTAAATGTAAAACATACATAACTGTTTATAAATATACACAATGGAAAGAAATATTCCGTAAGTTACTAACTCTGTCCCGATTCCTAAGTCAAATGATAATAAAAATGTAACAGAAATAGAATATGTAATTTTACATAAAAGAAATATTGTGTGAGAAATATATGAAAATTTTAATGCAATAAATATGTAAATAATATGATGTCAGATTATTTGAGACAGGATCTCTATATTACACTGATAGCCATTTACTGAAACAAATATTCAATACTTTGTCAGACAAATTTTAATGGAATTTGAATTTCAATAGAGAGCGCACAGCTTTGACTAAACTATTTTACAAAGGTTGTGCGATTGTCGGCACAACTAAAAATCGAGTAGTGTACCTCCATATAAGCTCATAGGAATCAAAGCGAGACAACTGCTGTGCGATAGTTTAGTTTCAGATGTGCGCTTTTAGCGTGGTCTAAAAGACAATGTTACATATTTTACTGTTCCAGTAGGTACTATCCTATATCCTGTATAATTGAGTCATTTTTAAATAAACTTTGTTTTAAACTATAGAAAATGTAATGCATAATTTAAATTTGTATGTAAAATATTGTAAAAATAAATTTTAAAGTAATGAGATTTGAAAGATTTTTTAACTAGAAGTAATTCTTCAATCTGAATGTATGGATTTAGCTAAAGCTGTTTATAATGCATTGAAGTCTTTTATGTGAAAATTTTGTTTTATTTAATCCTCATTTCCACTGAAACTAGCTGTTGCTAGCGATTCTGTCCGCGTGAAAAGTATAATTAACATGCTGTTTTCCAAATATTTTTATAGTAACTATACCAATTTTTATTCACATGCAACAGACACCTAACCATCCAAACCTAACAGACATCTATCCATCCAAATTGCAATTATTAGTTACTGCAAGTTCACATTACTTGAAAAAAATGTGGCATTCAATGTGTTAAAATTTTACGTCAGATTCGGTAAACAGTATCTAGTATATTTTAATTTCTGGGTAAATAATAAAACAATTACAGCAAAACTCCATTTATTGCCTTCAATAATACTGAAGCAATTAACCAATATAAGTTAATAAATAGTACAAATTTGTATAAATAAATTAAAACTAAATTGATTCGTTACATTCTTTCGACTAGAGTTTTATGACGATATGAATTAAGTTTTACGATCGGTTTATATTGTTTGTGTTACAACTTGTGAGTGAGTATTTAAATATTAACATATTTTAGTTGACAGTGAAAGTAAAAATAAATTACAAAATAAAAAATTTACGTTAACATTTCAACAGATTTCAATTCCATTCATTATAAAAACGACCTTAGACAATTAATGATTTTAGGACTTTTCGAACAGATTAATAGATTATTGTTTAATAGGGAACGGTGATGAATGAATGAAGTCAGTGTGATCACGGATGGTGAGTGTGATGAGCGGTGGTCAGTGGCTGGAGAAGTTGGTGAGCAGTTCCTCCTGGATGCTGTTAGAGCGCGTGAGATGCCGCGCTGCCACTTGACCGAAGGCCGTCGCTACGGTGTCTGCTTGTGACGCTTCACGAGCTTTCTTCTCGTGGTATTCATCTGAGAACTCCTGTGATAACATAAATAAATATGAGAATCACGATATTTGGAAGTTAGAATCACATAGCGGTCATAGCCGATGTGCCAACCTTTAGTCTGTTGCCCAGGAACACAGCTCTCTCGCGCTTCTTGTGAATGAAGTCGGACTGCGCGAGCCACCGGTGCTCGTAGCACTCCTCCGCTGAGGGCCGCTTCAGAGGCACCTTCTTGAATACGAACATCAGGAACCGCGTCGCCTCCTGTCACCAAAATCAACCAATTAGTATCCCGGCAAATGATTATTAAACTGAATGTCTGTGTACCATGTGAGGTACGGACTTGCGTGATCTCCTTGTAGAGGTGCTCGAAGCGATAGCGCACGAAGGATATGTTCTGCTTGGTCTCGGCGTCGTCAGCGCCGCGGAATGGCGACGTGCCCG